CACCATAATAAAGGTCATTATGACAAACCCACAGCTAACATCATAGTCGACAGTGAAAGACTGGAAGCTTTTCCTCTGAGATGAGGAAACAGACAAGAATGCCCACTCTCACCACTCTTATTCAACATAGTACTAGAAGTCCTAGCCACAGCAATCAGGAAAGATGAAATAAAAAGTATCCAAAAAGGAAAGGAAGAAGCAAATTGTCATTACTTGCAGATGATATAATCTTATATATAGAAAGTTCTAAAGATTTAACTAAAACACTGTTGAAACTAAACAAATTCAGTAAAGTTGCAGGAAATAAAATCATCATACAGAAATCAATTGCATTTCTATGCACTAATAATGAAACATCAGAAAAGGAAATAAAGAAAACTATTCAATTCATAATAACATCCAAAACAATAAAATTCTTAGGAATAAATTTAACCAAGGAAGTAAAAGATCTGTACAATGAAAACTGTAAGATTTTGATGAAAGAAATTGAACGAGACACAAATAGATCCTGTGTTCACGGATTAGAAAAATTAACATTGTTAAAATGTCTATGCTACCCAAAGCCATCCATAATGCAATGTAATCCATATCAAAATTCTGGTGGCATTTTTCACCAAAGGAAAAAATTCCTATTATTTGCATGGAACTTACAAAAGACCTCAAATAGCCAAAGGAATCCTGAGATGGAAGAACAAAGCCAGAGACATGACACTTACTGATTTCAAACTATATACTGCAAAGCTCTAGTAATTGAAACAGGAGTTTTTCTTTATCTTCGATTTTTTGTCATTTGAAAATGACATCATTAGGTGTAGTTTTTTGGATTGTGTTCTCCGAGCTTCCGGATCTTCTGTTTGGTGTCTGACATAACTTTGGGGAAATTCTCAGTCATTGTTTCAAATATTTCTTCTTTTCTCTCTTTCTTCTCCAGCTGGAATTCCCATTTTGTATGTGTTACACTTTCTATATTTGCCCCAAATCCTTGGATATCCTGTTCCGTTTCTCTTTTTTTTTCAGTCTTTGTTCTCTTTGCAGAGATTGTTCCCTCAGTTCTGTCATTGACTAATAAGCCCAGCAAAGGCATTCTGCACTTCTGTTACAGTGTTTTTGATTTCTAGCATTTATTTTTGGTTCTTTCTTAGGATTTCCACCCCTCTTCTTACATTGCCCATCTGTTCTTGCATGCTGTCTACTTTATCTACAAGAGCCCTTTGTGTATTAATCATATTTGTTCTAAATTCCTGGTCTGATAAATGCATCCTTGTCATGCCTATTTCTGATATTTGCTCTGTCTCTTCAAGTTGTATCTTTGGCGTCCGGGCATATGCTTTGCAATTTTTTTCTTGCTATTTGGATGTGATGTACCAGGCCTAAGGAACTGCCGTGTATAGGCCTTTGGTAATGTGGTGGTGAGGTGTAGGGACCAGGGGTAGTGGTAGATATGCCTCTGAGTAGGTCTCACTATTTCGTGAGCCTGTGCCTCGGGACTGTGAACTTCACAAACGCTTCTCAGATTTTTCTCCCACCTTAGGTGGGGCAGGGTAGCTAGAGTGGGCTGGAGTTGGGTATTTTCCTTCTTCCAAGCAAAAGACTAGAGCTGACTAGAGTTGGGCATTTCCCTCCCCACAGGTCAGTTTGGTTTTGATAATACCGTAGCAGGTGAGGCCCCAGTTAAGCAGTTTTTCCTAAGGGCGGCCCTTGTTGAGAAGAACTGAGTGCTCAGGATTATTTCACAATAGTTCCTTTGCTCTTCCTTCTGCCACAGGAAGTATGAGTGGGTTTTTTCTGATATTTATTGTGTGAACCTGGTCAAGTTCCTAGAGGTAAATTCACAATATTGTGGGTGCCCCCTAGTACTAGAACCCCTGCAACTGTTTACTCTCAGAGTTGCTTCCAGCAATTCCTTAGTTACAGTTGAGGTTGTCCTACCCTGACCTTGGGTCCTCAGCAGTTTCAGCTAGTGAGTCTTCAGCTAGTGCATGCCTCTCCAGGCTTTGGGGAAGCATTTGCCGCATATCCTCACCTCACTTACATACCCAAGAGTTGTTTTTTCAGTCTGTTGAGGGCTTACTTGTTAGGATGGAGCAGTGACTTCCAGGTTCCTTACATGGGGAATTGGAAATCAGTCCACTATTAACTTTTCAGTTTGCTTAGAGTCAGTATTGTATTGCCTCATGTGAATGTAAAGATCTTGCCCCTTTGATATTATAGTTGTCACGTGTATTATGTCTATCTACGTTACATATTATATATTATAATGTTAGGATTTTTCATTTAAACTCACATATATTGCAAAGAAATTAAGAAAAAAATGATATTTATTCATGTATTACCATTTCTGATGCCCCTCATTAAATTGGGGCATCAGATCCATCTTTTCTTCTGCTATTATTTTCCTTCAGGTGGAAATTGGAATGATGTTTCTATGAGCCAAGGAATGCCAGTAGGTACCAGAAGCAGGAAGACGCAAGGAGAGATTCTTCATCTCCGCTAGAGCCTTCGGGGGAAGTACGGCCCTGCCAGGACCCTGATGTAGCCTTCTGGCCTCCAGAACTGCGAGACAATAAATTTCTGTTGTTTTAAGTCATGAAATTTATGATAATTTATTATGGCAGCCCTAGGAAATAATACAGCAACCTTCTGCCACTTCATAACATTTCTTTTTGCCATTTTGCCAATCCTTTAAATCTAATGGACATTTATGCAAACAAATGTACACACAAATTGTGTACCTCTGCAGGAAGGAGTGTGCATAGCTATGTGCCCACATATACACTTGTTTTATGTACCACTTACATGTGACTTTGGTAGACAAAAATACTCTATCTGGGGTCAGCCATCTGGGTGCTGATCTCGATTCTGTCACTGACTGGCCATAACGCTGTGTGAGCTATATTTTGCCAGCAGGCCAGTTGTCCTTCTGTGCAATGAAATAGTTATCTTTATGGTCCTTTCAGCTCAGTGACTCTGAGCCTATGAACCCCTGTCTCTCCATATACTTATTATATATCTGCTTTTGAAGAAGTGTGTAGTCAGAGTGGAGCACATGTGCCTCACTGGACATTAGAGAATATTAAGGATGGGCGGGGTATACAATGGGATAGTAGTTTAGACAGAAATAGCACACCATGGGAAAAAGTTTAAATGCCTACCTTGTCCCAGTCACTGTATGGACATCAAGGCCGGAATACTTACACACAGCAAAACTCATGTTCAATCAGGTGCCTTGAATGACCATTTGATTCTCTGACTGAATGGGCTAAAAATCACAGTATGAGGGGTTTGATTAAGAAAACTTGATTAAGCATAATCATTACACAGGCATGCCTTGGAGATATTGTGGGTTTGAATATCACAATAAAGTGAGTCAAATGAATGTTTTGGTTCCCTAGTGCATAGAAAAGTTATTTTTACACTATACTATAGCCTCTTAAATGTGCAATAGTGTTATGTTTGAAAAATGTATCTACTTTAATTAAAAATACTTTATTGCTAAAAATGCTATCATCTGAGCTTTCAGCAAGTCTTAATCACTGATCATAGATCACCTAGCAAATATAATTAATGAAAACATTTGAAATATTGTGAGGATCACCAAAATGTGACACAGAGACATTAAGTGAGCAAATTCCATTGGAAAAATGGTGCCGATTGATTTGTTCAACACAGGGTTGTCACAAACCTTCAATTTATAAAAAACCTGGTATCTGTGTAGTGCAATAAAGTGAAGCACAATAAATTGAGGTATGCCTATATGTAGGTGGAAGCTGAATTACTTGATTAGAACAGCTCTTTACACATATGCTCATATTTATGTTGCCCCTTGAAACACTCAAAATGAAATTTTATGTCACTGTGATTTGGGGTCCCATTTGGGGACTCATCTTTTGGAGGACATTTGAAATTTGGTAGTCTGTATTTCCACTCTCCACAGGTCAGCTCCTCCTTCACCTAGGATTTTCCTGTTTTAGAGCCTGGCTGGTTAGGTCTGAAAGGGTCTTTCAAGATCAGTACGTCCATTACCATTCATTTTGCTGTTGAGGAAAATGAGGGCCAGATGGAAAAAGGACTTGTCAAAGGGAACAGTGGAGTTACTTTCTGAGGCAGGACCTGAACCTAAGTTCCTTTACTTTACCCTTAGCCTAGGTCTCTTTCTACCCTGTGTTTCATTGTTGCTAAAATTTGACCAGGTTTTGTTTTTTGCCTCAATGGGAATATAATTGTTTTATACTTTGAGTTGATTCCCCTCCTTCCCCCACCCTCTTGTCTTCCCCCTTGTGCAGCTGCAGGTAGGTTCACACACTTACGTACACCTGTGCTCCCTGAAGAGGTTTTTGAAAGGAGAGCGTTGTGTTTCTGCTTGTCTGTTTTGCCTGGAGGGAAGCTCCAGTGCACGGTTCCGAACTGGGTCCTCACTTCCACTTGGTTGGAGGTGGGGGTTAGCAGTTAGGTTATTAGCGGATCAATGTAGCTGAACCCTTCTTAGTGGAGTGGGAATGCTTTGATGTACTTTTTTTTTTTAAAGCTCATTATGGTCCTCAGAGATGCAGTGTGAATAGACGGGATGGGCAAACCTTTATTTGGAGACTGGGCTTGGAGGCACGCCCACTCGGATAGAAGGGAGACAGAGCACCTGTCTTCTGTCTGGGAGCAGCTAGTAAGGCTCACAGTGAACCATTCTTCCTCTATCCTTCTACCTGCTCTTACCCTTTGGCCCCCTCCTCTTCCCCTTGCTTCCCCTGCCCCGCCCCTTCTCCCTGGGCTTCCCTCCATCTCTCTGCTGGATACCTTAAGGAATACAACGCTAATCTTTCCTGAAATCACCACGGATGCAAAGCCTTGCAGCGCTGTGTTCGGCGCACCGAGCCCTGGGGAATGTACAGCCAGCCAAGGGGGGCAGGAGGGAGGGAGGAAGAGGGGAGGAAGGGGGCGGGGAGGGAGAGAGGGCAGAGGGAGCGGGCGTGGGGTGGGGGGGCGAGCGCGAGCGCGGCGGGAGCGCGCGCAGGCTGGCTGGCGGACCGGAGAGACAGATGAGCCAGGGGCGCGGAGAGAGACTCCGAGAAGGAGCAGAGGGAGCCCAGCCCCGGGAGGGCCGACCTCCCGCCTCTCTCAGTTCATTCATCCCTCCCTTGTCTCCTCTGCGGGGCAGTGACTGTGGCTCTCGGTAAGAAACCTGGGCGCCTCTGCGTCCCCATCCCCCCAGCTCGGGTCTCCTCTCCCCCCTCCGTTCCGAGTGTCCTCGGGCCGGCTGGGGGCGAGACCCGCTCTGCAGCTGTGATGCTGCCCTGGGTGCCCGGCGGGGCTGCCAGAAGCCTCTAGTCTGTGTCTGGACTGGGGGGGGGGGCACTGGGAGGAAGCCTGACGGGGGGCGGCCGTTGCGATGTGGTATATGCGCGATTCGCTTCATTGTCAGTGAATTGTTTTGTTCTTTGGAAGCAGGTCAGCACTGACCTTGCAAATTGCTTGGGGGGCCCCGGCAGCTGCTGCAGCAAGCCACCGAGTGGCCCCTAGTCCGAGCCGACAGCACTGTCATGACCCCTCAGACAGCCCTCGCCCGGGGATGGGGTAATGGCTGGAGCTTCCTTCCTCCTTTAACGCTTTCTCTGCAGCTGCTTCTTGTTGCTGGAAATGAGAAAAAGGGAGAATGCCATGCAGCCCCTCTCCCCATCTCCCCATTATCTCCCCCAGACGCAAGGGAATAGAAAGTTGTAAATAACTGCTGCTTTTGAAAGCAGGTCGAGACCTCTCCCCCCTTCCTTTAAGAGGTTCATTGTGGGGCTGGGCCTGAGTTCCTTCACAAAGTTGGGAGGCTCCTCTGTGGGAGCCCCACTGTCCGCCTGCTCCCCATCCTGGGTGGCGGAGCTAGCAGGTTAGACCAGGGATTCGGATGCCCCACCCCATCCCACTGGCAGGCCTGCTATTAGGTTCAGATGTGTCCTTGGGAGGGCAGAACACACCTGATGGTTTGTCTGCAACTGGCCTCCCAGTTTGCCGCTCCTCTGCCTGTGCTGTGGGTGGACTGGGGGAGGGGTGGCCACTGGATTTAGAGGGAGCTGGGTGAAGGGCCAGGACTCCTGGCGTGGTTTCTGGCGGGTCATTTCATTCTGGATGTCCGGAGCTGTGCAAGAACTGGCTGAAGCTCTTGTAGTTTAGCCCCTCTGAACTGCTGGAGGAAGGGCTCTCATTGCTTGATGGGAGCTTTTTGAGTTATTGGCACTACTGTGCTCATGGTAGCAATTATAACAATAACAATACTAATTGCTCACATTGTTAAGTGCTTAGTGTGTGTTGGATCTTGGGTTGAGGGTTAATGTGTCTTATTCTTACATCAAGTCTATGAAGCAGATACTATTAACTATCCTTGTTTTACTGATGACAAAACTGAAGCACAGAGAGGTTAAGGAACTTGCCCATAGTTACAGAGTAATTAAACATCCCAATTGGGGATTATGACACAGGTGACCTGGTTCCAGAACATATGGTCTTGACCACTAAGCACCACTACCTGCTTGTGGAGAACTTTGCCCCTTTATCTGTGGGGAGGTGTAAGTACAGTCAGGAAGGGGGCTGTTGAGCAAGATTTTTTTTTTTGGAAGTAGCCAGCCAGCCTTTCTGTAGAGTAAGAGGGACTTGGAGTGGGGCACGGCGACTGGCCACTGTGGGGCCAAGCCTCACCTGAGTTTCTTGGAAGGGCTGCCCAAAAGGCCCCTGGGCCAGCCTGCTTCCTTCTGAAAAGGGTGCCTGGAAAGACTTCACTTTTCTACTGTCCTAACCTCATCCATCTCACAGCCAGCAAAAGACTGCTCCGTTCAGGACTAGATCTCGCCCGTATTTTCTGAGAGCTTAGAGTGACCCTGTCCTGAATATTTGAGAACACCGAAACCTTGGAACTGGAAGGTTCCCTAAAGGTTTCTAAGCTTTACTTCTGCACCCAGTTCTTGAATTTGTCCTAAACATTCAGTTCATTGACTGATTCCTATTTGATCTCTCTGCAGTGACAGAGATCTCATTAGATGGCTCTTTATATCTTTAAGCAACTCTGATTGTCAGAAAGTAATCCCCTTTGCAAGCCAGGCTCCGTCTGCCTGCGACTTCTGTTCATTGGTTCTTTGGGAGTATCTGGAACAAATTTGCTTCTGCTTAATAAGAGCTCTTCGCATAGTTGAGGACAGCAGTCATGCCCCTCCTCTCAAGGCTCTGATCTAATAAGACCACAAGTACAGGATCATCATCTGCTTCATTTTGGAGACTAGACTTTTATTAATAAGGCCTAGTACCCCATTCTCTTGTTTGTCAGTCACAAACTGATCGTACTGAGCTTTCTAAAGCAGTGTATGTTCTCTTCCTTGGAAAAGCTTACTAAGTACTATCAAGTGGACTGATGTGAACAAAGAAACTCCTTTCTTTTCCTAAAGACCAGCATTCAGTTGGTGCTAGTCTGAAGGGGCCTTTCTGAAGCCTTGGAGCGCCCAGACAGCAGCCAGACAATAGGCATGTGGGAAGATTTGAAAAACAGGGATTAAGGACAATTATCATAAAGGACCACTTGAAATAGTGGTTATTCAAGGTTCACGCAGTTTTCGGCAGGTAGAAGAGTAAACTGTTATATGGGAAAGTATGTCAGAAAGAACAACATCACTAAGGGGATGGGGCACACAGGGACTGGGTGGAGCAGGTGTGAGCATGCCTTGTGCCAGAGTGGGAAACTCACCTCCGTGTTCGGCTGAGTTCTATTCTTGGCTCTGCTAATTTGACACTTACCTTGGACACAGTACTTCTTCTCCATGGACCTCAGTTTTTCCATTTATAAAACGAAGGGGTGGACTCTATCACCAAAGGTCTTTCAGCCCCGCAGTTCTCTATCTGAGGTAAATTATGAAATTTCAGAGTTCTGAAGGGCTTGAGAAATCATCTAGGCCAGTGCTTCTCAAGCTTTAATGTGCAAAGGAAGCCCCTAGGGACCTTATTAAAATGCTAATTCTGATTCAGAGGGTCTGGGGTGGAACCAGAGTCTGCATTTTGACAAGCAGCTAGGTACTCCTGAACTTTCTGTTCCAGCACTTTTCGAACAATCTTGTTGAAGGACTAGTTTGGGAAGTGTTTTCAATGCATCGCAGACTGTTACTTTTGTAAAGTACATTAACTATGAATTACTAGAAAATGCTGCTGCCTGGTAATGAAAGTTCAGAGAGGCACTGATCTAGGCCACTGACCATATGACTGGGCCCAGTTATACTTTCTCAATCATCTCTCCCAGATCCTTTTATCCTAGGTTAAATATCTCTATTGACAGAGAACATAATATCCTCACAAACTTGCATTACCTGGTGGTATGACATCCGAAAAGTTTTTTTTTTAAAGCTTCTACAAATTCCACCCTTAGACTACAAATTCCAAGCAAGTAGGGGGCTGGATCAGTCCACTTGATCACGCCATCAGCCACTAGCATGGCACATAGTAGGTGTTCAATAAATGTTGGTTAAGTGAACAAATCACTTGGTGTTACTTATGCCTTTTGGGGCCATATGTTCATAAAAGAAAGGTGACTTCAGTTTTCTTCCAGCATTTGGGAGGCACTAATCATCCTTTTTTCTAAATTTCTTATGGTGACTAGAAGTCCAGCTTACCTGTCCCAGAGAGCTACCTGGCATCCCAATTTTATTTTGAAAGAATTATAGGAAGCCAGGCAAAGAGTTTGCCCACTCCAAGTCCCAAGTCATCACCTTTAACCAAGTGATTCCCCAGATCAGTCACTCAGTGGCTGTTACTCAGTGCTGTGGTCGGGTGCTACGCCAATGATATAAAGGTAAGCAAAGCAGGCATGGCTCTTGTTTACTTGGAGCTTATAGTTTTATGGGGAAGAGACCATAAATCAGATCATCACATAACTGTGTTAGTTAAGTCAGCAATAAATGTTATGAAGGAAAGGTATGGGGATGGAGCTATGAAGGTAGATAACAGAGGAAACTGATCTAGCTTGGGCCTGAAGAAAAGCTTCCTTGAGGAAGTGATATTAAGGCTGAGTAGAGACATGGGCTTGGGTGGAGCGGTTTTGTAGATGAAGGAAAGAGTATGCACCAGGGCCCTGGGATGAGAGAACCATAGTGAATTTGAGAGACTAAACAATAGCTGGCTAGACTGGGCCATCATAAGAATTTTGGTCTTTATTCCAGAAACACAGGTACTGATGTGGCCTAAAGTAAACGCGTTCAGTGTAAGGTTACCGAGTGCACACTCTGAGCCAAAGGCAACGTGGGAGATACAGACTGATTTAGGAATAGTCTCTGCTCTCCAAGACGACAGACACAGTCACGTAAGAGGGAGAAGAAATATGCAAACAACTATAATACTAGAAGGATGAGCTCCACACCCATGAAAGGAAGAGGGCTTGCGGCCAAGGAGGTCAGAGACAGCTTGCTGGAAGTGGCCTTTGAACTGGGCTTGGAAGATTGGGCAAACTAGAGATGCAGAGTTTGGGGGATGGGAAACATGTTCTAGGCCGAGGCCAGGAAAACAGAGGGCACGCATTAGGAATAGTGAGAAACTCAGCTGTGTTGGAGTAGAGTGTATGGTGAAAGTATGCGAGAAATATTTGGCAAGCTAGGTGGAGGGCTTGCTTGGCTGTCGATAATATTGAATGTTAGCTTAGAGAATTAGGACTTTGCTCTATGGATTTGGAATTTGCTCACAGGATTTGGAAGAGATTGCAGGAAGGCCCCGTCCTTGTTCCAGTCTCTGAGAGGCAACTCCCTCATTTTATGGATCAGCAAACTGATCCTGACTGGGGGAGCGACTTGATTTGACTGAGATCACACATGTAATACTATTGTTATAGCCTAGCAATTGCTATAGGCTACAGGTGAGAAAATGTGGAATTGAAGCTCTGCAAAGAAATTAATTGGAGTCATTGGTATAGAGACAATGCTTGAAGTAGAAAGAAGAGATCCAAGAATCTCTTCTTTGGGGAATTCTTATCTTTAGGATATGGGAAATCGAAGATGAGTCTGTGTGAAGGCTACAAATGAGAGGTCAGACATGTAGGAGGAAAGTCAGGAGAGAGCGGTATTATGAAAGAGCCAAGAGAGGAGAGGCTGCCTTCATACAGTGGTTACACAAGTACTGGTTGACTACGTACCATTTAGGAAACGCGGAGAATATGCTGGT